TCAGGACACTAACCGACTATTGAATTTGGACGGATTCTCGGAACGCGCGTTGTGAAAGTCCAGAGAAAGGTCGGCATCGATTCCGATCCCGAAATAATTGTTCATGATGATCATGATGGAATTGTCTTCGTTCGTATTCGACGCGTTCGTTTGCAATTCCAGTGCCAATTTGGTCTCATCCTTGAATTCCTCATCCGGGCGCACGACAAATGTCCACCTGGTTGAATGAAACGAAGTCCGAATATCGGATGAAAACGACGGGCAATAAGGGTGCATGTCAGACCGATTTAATCAAATGAGATAAAGGGTATTAAAGAGCAACATTTATGTTGCATGTGCTACCGATTCGAGCAAGAACGAGAAATTCAAGATTTGTGTAATGAAGAGTAGTTAGACGGTAGGTCCGTATTCACCCGGTGAACATGAGCATCCTAGGAAACCGTTCAAGATGGATTTATTTTCCAACCTGAAAAAAACACCAAACCTCGACGAAAATAAAGTCTGGTGGAATTGGAAGAAACACAAAACATACACAAACAGTGCAAACGAGAACGTGAAACATTGGCAAACAACTGAGAAACTCGGACTGATCGCGCCCGCTTCTGTGTTGTATAACACTACGGAATCACGAATCAGTCGAGAGGATTCGGTTGATTCACACATTGTTCCCGGATGACGAACATCCGGAACCTGATCTCCGGGTCCTTTTACTACTTGACAGAACCATACAGGCAAACTATGAGAATGCGCACACTCACCGGTCCAATTGAACTTCCTCTGCAGCTACCACATCCTTCAGAATGGCCAACGGATCCTCGGCTGACGAATACCCAGAACCCCAGCGTAACACCCGTGCCAGATCGTTACCTGTTCCAAGAGGCAATGGGGCAATCGCGGGCGAGTTGCATGCGGCATCCTGACCGACAATATCCAGACAGGATAAGACCCATCCGACCGTGCCATCTCCACCACAAACAAGAATTTTGTACGACGCCAGATGACGAAAACAGTAGAGCCCAGGTAACGGACCACCGTAGTCGAGATTAAACACCTATGGGAGTAAGGATGGATGGGCGTGGGTGAGAGGTCGTGGATGGACAAGAATGCCGAGATTGAGAGAAAGAACCAAGCGGAATGCGTTTCAAAAGCTATCTGTAACAAGTAAAAACCTCAGAGAGGGCAATCTGTGAGACAAAAATTGGGTTCCAATCATTACGCCAAGAAAAAAAGATGCCTGGGGGGATGGCAACGCGCTAAAATGAGAGAAGTTTCGTTCCACGAGACACAGGGGCGTAGTGCACCGGAATATCGTACATAATAATCTTCCACACAAGCTAAAACTAATCTTCATAAAAATGTTTGTGCTTCAAATGGGACAGTGTTGGCCAAGCAATATGAACCACCCGTTTTTATACTTTATACTTTTCACAAACCTCTGAATCCAAACTGTGTGCTAAACAAACCATGGTACAATAATCTTTATAAAAAAAAACGTTCCATGATTTGCATGTGGGCACAATAATGCCAAGTTTTTCAGGCAAAGGCAGGTGAATTTTCCCGAGGGATACACAACCGGAGCCTTCGGTTAGCCAAAACCTGACCCACAAGGCAGCGGGGCGGTATGTGAAAACCGCAATCCTTTGGGAGCCGGTGTGCAATTCACCGGATCATACACCCTTTGGATGCGGTCAAATGTCCAAGGTACCCAATCGGGCTGGTGACCACTGCCACAACGAGGAAGTTGTGTGTGTGGTTCATACGCTCCCTCTTCGTTGGTTTGGAATCAGGGATTTTTTGGCCAACTCCCCTCAGTGAACTACCAGTGGTCCACTAAACCGGTTACAGCCCCGGATGTCGGCTTTTCGTTCTCACACTTTGTGGGAAAACACCCGCCTCGCGGGAAGGCAGTGAGTAGGGCTTCCTCAGCAGAGGCTATTCGAGATACTTAGTCATATGGCAGCATTTCATGAGGTGCAAGGGAAAAATGACCAGCCGCAACCGTAGGCACCCACCCGGGATCATACCGAGGCTTTCAGGGCAATCAGAAAGACGTTTCTTGGGTTTATGACCAGTTCGTGCACACAGAAAATAGGGGATTAGTTGAAGCTTGAACCATACAGTCGCCGTGATGTGCAACCATTAATAAAATAATACCGAGGTTCTGTCGTATATCCAAAAGTAACTCGAGTACTCGTTGTTCCGATCGAATTCGTTCGGTTGGTTCGGGGTTTTTGCATTCTCCATTTACGCTCGGTACAATACGGATGCATTTTCCACCTGTGTATGTTTTTTACGTGTTTCACCACTTCAGTTGGTATTTGAAAGCAAAAGCTTCCAACCACGCGGTAGGTCCTTCAGACCGTGTCATGTCCACTTCCTATCGTTCGTTACGCTGACACAGCAAACCAACTGTTCGGATAATGGCTGATTAAAACGGGCATTTCCTTCCATGATTTTTTTACAATTATAGCTCTTTGCGCTCGCGTGTGGGTTTATACATCAGTCATTCGTGTAAATTTTTGTTTTAGTTTTTTTCTTCTGACCAATTCAATTTGCCCCAAGACGTTTCTGTTTTCGATTCAGCACACAACATGCAAAGTAATTATGAATAAGACTTTATGGCCTGTTCAGTTCAATTTGAACGATAATCATTTCCCACCCATTTCGTGCCGTTTGAGAGTGCGCTTCTCGCCCCCTCTATCTCATTTGGTTCATTTTCTCCCTCTCGCTCGTTCTCGATTGAAGCATTCTGGATCATTGGACTGGGTGAGACAGACCTCAGTCAAGATGGTCCACTCGAATTCAGATAAATGCGAATATTGCGTGTGTACTGTTTGTCGAAACCCTCTCTCTCTCTCTCTCTCTCTCTCTCTCTACACACA